TAGCATGGAAAGGAAGAAAACAGGAGGTGAAGTGATCAATGACCACAATCGGTTGTGTGATAACCTTTTCCAAGCACAGGTGTTTGTTATAGATACTAGCATCTCTGTTGGCCATTGTGAGGGTTCCTGGCATGGTCTGTACCCAGGACTGTGTGTGGGCTTAGGGAGCTGTCAGACCAGTATGTTCTGCTGTGGCACAGAGCTTCAGGGCTTTGCTCTGCTGGAAAGTTGGTGCTGCTCCAAGCTGTTTTCCCCCAGCATCTGCTTCAGGCCAGGGGTGGTGCTTGGGGCATTTCTGATTTGTGCTGGCTAAGGTGAGTGCATGGGAGCATCCATGAGCAGGCACACTTCTCCAAAGGTGCAGTGGGCTAAGATGGACTTTCATACCTTGCACAGGTTGGAGGTAAAGGGAGGTTTTTGTCCTGTGAACAGATGTTGTTCCTTTCAGCCTTTTACAGAGAAGAAAATGCTGCATTTTTTTCCCCCACAGATAAAACAACATCCCACTGAATCCTTGCTTTGGTGTTTTGGTGTATGGTGTGTGGGACAGGGGCTTGATTACTGCAAATGTCACTGGTGTTCTACCCAGAGGTCTCCACTCTACGTGGACAGATTGCTGAGGCTGAGGGGAGGCCATCTGGCAGTGGGGAGCCCTTTGCTCTTTTACCTAAGCTTTAACTGTGTTTCTTCTCCTGCCAGCCCTACTTTGAGACCCCTTAAGGTCAACTGTGTTGCTACTCAAGTATGGCCATCGCCAAATGGATAGACTCCAAAAGGACTCATTTCTCTCAACTGTGGCAAGGATGCTGGTGCAATGGGAAAGCAATATGGGAATACTCTACAGTATAGCTTTGAAAAGAGCCTGTTGCTTGAAGTGTGAGATAGGTTTGGGCTTTTTTGCTTCTGTGCATTGTTTGCAAAGGGGATTGGGCAGAATAGGGCTGACTGGGCACAGGGACAGCAGGGACACGGCTGCAATGTTTTGCAGTGTCAGAGAGGCAAAGTTGTGCCAAGTAAATGATAGCTATTTTTTAAAAATAACTTAGTTAGTTGTGGTAGAAATAAATTAAATAGTTACATTAACTCTGAAATCTTCCCTGCTCTCATCTGAAGCGAAAATATTGGAAAGCTCTTTCAAATATTTAATAAAAGGGAGATACTCGCTAGTAGCTTGGTTGAAGTTTTAACTTCTAATACTGAAAATTCCCCTCTGGTGCCAGCACAGTAAGTATCATGGATTGCTGCAATTAAACCAGTGCATTAAGTTATTCATAATACTCTTTCTGGGCAGTGTTCCCACCTGCTTAATCTCTGCTATACAAGCGTTTATTAGAACTGACTGTTGAAAAACGCCAAGCTAAATCGGACACTGAAAAAAAATATTGAAAAATCAATATGATGCCCTAAACTGGTTTAATATGTCTTTCCTCTTCAATAATCCTACATGTTACTGATTTATTTGCTGTAATGAACATGCCATTCAACCGAAACAAGATTAGCTGCTTAAACTGCAGCATTAAGCACAGAGCAACTTTAATGCTGCTTTATATTTCATTTTAATGCTCAGTGCTTACAGTGGTGTCTCTTTCTCTCCTCTGCAATAATGAGTTTGTGTGAGGATCGTGGAAAGCTCTGGAATGATATTTTCATAAAGCATTTGAAACAGTAAATTTGAGTTGGGGGGGTTGCAGCGTGGCACCTCCTTCATCCAAACCTAAGTGGATCCAAATCAGTGAGCAGGATTAATGCACAAATTTATATTCCCTGCAGGATTTTTCCGGGGTTAACCATGAAATAAATGGCTTATGTCAAACTGATCTAGGTTAAGACAGAGAGAACAGCCACTGGCTATTCCTTTGGACTTCATTCAAATTTTTTTTTCAAGCATTTCAAAGGGTAGCAATTTACTGTGCTGCAGAAAAAAACAGACTGCAAGGAGCAGGCATCTTGGCTTTGCAAGGAAGAGTCCTAAGATAGATGTGGTAAAGACTTAAGGTTTTCAAAAGAACCTATAGCAGGGGACAGGGAAATAAGGGTGATACAGGTATTTTATACCTGTACCGTATTGTATAATAGAAAATTTGTTCTATTGTATAATTCTGGCCAGATCTGAAAAGCTTAAGCTCTCCAGTTTCCAGGTAAAACTGTGTGGTGTTCTCTTCCTGCTACAGGGGCAGACTTCAGCTGAGAGTCTGTAAAGTCAGTGGGTTTTGGTTCCTGTTTTGTTCTTTCCCTCTGTCATGAAAAGACATGCTTTAGATAATTAACTTCCCTTATTGTTGATTAAGAAACAAGTTGTATTTGTTAGGGCTTCAGTATATTCTCCATAGTTCTAAAAATTGCAGTTAATTTTCTGTTTGCAATACAGTGTTATGTTTCTTTTTCTTTGAAAGATTATGATGAGTTACCAGTATGTATTTCAGCAGCTTTTTAGGGTCTTGGAGTTAAACTTAGAATATCAAAACCAGAGAAATGGGTTTCAAAGTATTGCAGATGTGTGCTGAGTTGACAGCAATTACTTAAACATGTAGAAATGAGAAAGAATGTGAAAAGTAGTGCATCTGCACTGTGCTGGAGTTGGTTTTCAAATGCAGGGGGTGGTTCTCACTCTGGAAGGTGCACGTTATTTCCAGTGAATGCTGCTTTTCTCTGTGTGATCAGAACAGAGAATTAGAAGTAATCTGACAAAGGGAGAGTCGAGGGATTGAAGGAGGCTATTTCTGAAGAAGCAAATGCATTCTGGAAGTCTGTTAGGAGGAGCAGCATCACTTTGCATTTCTCCATTTAAAAAAAAAATAGCCTGAAGATGCTTTCAGAACATTTGCTTGAAGGGTGAGTGCTGGGATGCACAGAAATTTGCCACTGATATGATACTTCTTCATGGAAAAGCAGAATCTCAAGGTGAATGTGATGGAGGGCCCTAAAAGGAACATGCATGCTTCAAGGGGAAAATAATGTCCTCAACAGCTCACATGAGCAACTTTAGGCCCACTCATAAGGTCCCACAGTCATACTTCATTCAAACACCAAGTGATTTGTGTGCTCTGACTCACAGTGATGGAAGCAGTTGGACTCACCTGTTCGATATCCAAGCAAGCAGCAGGAGAAGGGACAGTGAGAAGGAAGGAATGAGGGAGCAACAGTGAAACCGAGCAAGAGAAAGGAGGATTGAATAGTCCTGGGAAAGCCTCTGCCCTGCCTTGGCTTGTATAATGGGGGCTTATACAACACGTAACCCAATCTGACCCTGACCCTGCCAGTGCTCAGGGACTATATTTTTACTAAGATTAAGCTTTTCTTTTATTTTTTCCTGGAACAATTTCATTGGCTTTTAGCTTGCCTGTTGGCTGGCATGGCCAAAGCAACCTTGCCTGTTTATTTCTGTGATATTTAGCTGGCTGCTCTCTGCAAAAGGCATGCACACAGCTTGCCCCCTGGAGTTCCACAGCAGCATCTCATCAGGGAAGGCTGCTGGCAGCAGGTTCACTACCCACCAGAAATGCTGTCTGTTCTCTGCTGGTAACAGCATTGTTGGGGAAGGAAAGAAAAATGTGGTAAATACAACAGCACCCTCCAGTTTAGCAAAGCAACTGTAAACTCCCTAAATAAAATGGCTGTCTTGTTCCTTGAAAGGCTACAGGAGTTGCTAGAGCTTAATTTCTCCAGAAGGCATAAGGTTTTCTGCCTTTTGGATTTTTATTCATGGTAACATGAGGGACTGGAGCCTCTGGCTTCAGCTTGGTGTCAGCAGTGCTGCTGCATCTTTCTGTACTGGGAAGCTGCTGGAGTCCAACACATTAATGGGCCATGCCAAAGCCCAGCAGCTTTCCCTGTGACAGCTGTCCCCCTATCTATTGCATCCATGAGGCAACAGCTAGGATTTCTGAGGGAACAAATGACAACCATTTTCCCCATTAGTGACTTGGAAGTCCACACCTAGCCTTCAGAAATGTGGTCAAACCCACTGACCCACAGAAGAGTGTAGCATCCCAACAGTCAAGCCATTTTGAAAGCAGGACTTGGGCTCATGTGAGACTTATTATTTCTGAATAATATTCCTTCTTTTTCAGCTGTAAGGATTTTTGAAAATACTGGGTCAGGTTCAGCATTCAAATGGTCTTTAGTTCCTGTCTGTCAACTTTATTTCAATTGATAGTCTCTTGTTTTTTCACTAGTGGGGCTTTGAACTTGCTTTATTCAAAGTATGCTGTACAGGTATGTGAACTTGCTTTTCCTGGTCACCTCCCTGGAGACCTTCAGTGCAATGTGTGGTACTGCTGAGGCTGAAAACCACAGCTCTAACTCAATCGAGGCTGTTAGGGTCAATGCAAGGGGAAGCATCATGCCATCCCTGACTGGTTCTCCGTGCCAGACCATCCTTCTCTGACTGTTTCTTCTGACTGTAAAATCTACAATCAACATCTTTCTGGTGTTCTGTTCTCCCAGGACTTGGTGTCACATCTCCTAGCTCTAAAATCCATGATGTCTGGTGGTTCTTCTGCCTTTATACTACCACACTGTGATGGAGTACCCTCTGCCATCTCAGAAAGGGTTTCTGCACCCTGTGATTGCTGCTCTATCTTTAATATCTGAAATCCTGATTCAAGCAGGGTGGGTGCAGCTTACTGCGGTTTTAACAGATGGGAGCTGGGTTCTCACAATGCTGCAACTAACTATGGCAGCATTCCCTGAGGATGTTATCCAGCTGACTGTGAGGGACAGTTATCTGGCTGACCGTGAGATTCACGGTCACTAGGGTTAGAAAGAAAAGAGAAGTCCATGACCTTAAAGGACAAGAAAGACTATTGGAGATGAAAGCAACTTTACACAGACTGTCTCCGAAAGACCATCTTAGAGCAGAATCCCTTTAACACTTGATGTTTCACAGCACAAGCAGTTGGTGTTTTATTAAGAAAAGAAGTGTTGTTTATCTCTGTCTGGTGTCAAAATACTTCAAAAAGAGCTTTACACTTGAACACGGAGATTTTCTTCCCAGTAACACAAGTTCACAGCTGCTGAATGCTACAAATCCTCAAGCTTTGCAGTGGGCTGCAGAGTGCTGGAGCCCTTAGTGAGCAGAGGCTGTTCCTGTGCACCCACAGGGCATAGGGCTGAAAGAAAAGCTGCCCACAAAGCTAGTAAGCAAACTTCAACATGGTTCTTTCTGAGCAGAGAGTAGGGATGCTCTCCTCTCCTGCCTGTTATTGGTTCAGAGTTTGAAGCAGTACTGACAGATTTCATTTTCTCTGCAGAAGCACCTGGCCTCTCTTTGCAGTTTGCTCAGCTGAACGTTCCTTTCCCTGTATGGCTGCTACCAGGGCTCTAGCAATGATCCCACTGCCCACACATGAAGGAGGGTCACAGGCACTAGAGGTTCATTGTGCACTGTGCAGCATGTATCATAATGAGGTTCTGATATGTAAGCAGACATCCAGGTCACTAATGGTAATGGTAATTTTTGGCTTTACATTTGAGTAGAGGCTTAGAAAGTCCTGAGAAGCTGTGCCATCACTGTACATGTTTATCTGCATCCTCTAAGAGCCATACAGCAGAGGCTGCTTTGACCCAGCACCCCATGTGTGTCAGCCTGGTTGGGGAGTGTGTGGCTGTCTCACAAAACAGCTGGCTAGCAGGGAACCACTCCAAAAATGGAGGAGGTGAAGGGGCTTCCCATGCCTAGTTTCTTTATACGGCTTCTCTCTTGCTTTCCTTGGCAGATTGTGTGCACAAGCTGATCCCCAGTGACTGGTAGCAGGGGCAGATTTCTGCTGCTTATGCATACAGATGTCTACCTACTTTAGTTCGAGTGAAAGCAACCCTCTGTAATAGGAGGTTGGAAGTAAAACCACATGTTCTGCACTTTCTGACTATGATGCAGAGGGACTACAGCTCTAGGACAGGGAGCAGGCTTCTCCCTCGGGCTTGGGGGTTTATTCCTAGGTGGGATAACTGCCCTGCAGTGCACACTTTGCTGTACAGCAGTCAGCAGTCCTACATACAGGTAGGTAACCTCAAGAAAAAAGCAAAGCATATAAAGTTGTGCTCTATCTGATCTCTCGCCTTCTCAAGGTTTTTGCTGCTGCCATGTCTAGAGGTCTGTAAGCAAAATGGCCACATCACAGGGATTTGGATACATGGCTGTTGAGCACAAGGATGCCAGATGTGACCCATGTGCTCTATGCTTGAATTAACTCTTCTCAATCAGCTATAAGATCTTGAAGGCACTTAAGCTGGGCAAAACTATGTTTTCTTCTCTGCTATGGTTTCTATTTCTGAACATTTTGATTCAAGATCTGCGCTTCTTTTTTTCCCCCGAAAATTTATATTCACCCAGCTGTGAGAGCTCAGTAAGGGAATAGCACCATCCTTTATGTGGTTGGGGCAGAAATCAAGCTGTAAGTTATCTTTATGGTCTGACATTATGAAACTCTTGTATTTTGACCCTGGAAACTCATTCCAAGGGGACAGTAAGCATAAGACAACATGGACAGGTATCCAAGTAACAGATGAAAATGTCTACAATACATATATAAATATTTAGAATCTATTTCTTTTTCCTATCAAGTGCACCTTCTTGATTTCAGAGCACATTGCTTCATAGCTCCTACGCCATGAGTCAGTCTGTGAAATAGGGGTGCACAGACTGTCTACTATACTTGCTTCCTGCATCTGAGAGGGAAGATGAGGTAAAAGGGGAAAAAAAAAAGCAGAGATTGTTAGACCTAAGACTAAGAGACCCCATCTTACTCACTGGTAGAAAAAAATGCGTATGCTGTTAAAAGAGGATAAAAAGAACATAAATTCCAGTCAGATGTGCCTCTTGTGCAAAATGACTAATTAAATGACATTGATAGCCTAAAAATAGACCTTGCTTTAATGGGAAAATAGTTTGGAGGTCATTTAAAAAGAAATCAAAAATCCAGGAAGGATGAAGAGAGTATGACTGCCTGCCTGGGTTTTGTTAATTCTTAGAAGTAAATCTCATTTTGTGGGCAGCTTTCAGGAACAGCAGTTAAGCCCAGCACATGTACAATAGCCAAGCTCATACAAACAAGTGTGGTCCGGGGCTCACAAAGGGGCTGCAGAGGTCAGAAAACAAGTGCTGAGTCATTGGTAAATGAATTCAGCCTCTACCGACCCTCAGGCAAACCCTATGGTACCTACCACTTTGAGAGTGGGACCCACACAAGATTCACCCCCCCATGGAAGCAGTAGCCTTTCTGCTCTTGCCCCACTCAGGGAGGAGGAAAGCTGTTGGCTCCCTACCCACAGTGGCAAACCCACACTGGCCTGAGCCTGGCATGAACCCGGGAGCAGCCAGGCAGGATCATGGTTGCTGGAGCAGCCCAGCACCTCTCATACCACGTGTGAGCACAGTGGGGCCTCTGCGATACGTTTCTTGTGTCATTGAAACATGCCCCGGCCATCCGTAACTTCCAGGGATGGGCTCTGGGGTGATAATGGCATAAAGACAATGCCCACTGAAGAACATAAGAGCTGCTGTAGTGGGTCATCTCTAGTCCAGGAGCCTGTCTCCACTGTGCCTGCCAATCCTGGTACGATGGGGTAGGACTCATCATTTTTTGTTCTTGCTCTCTATGCTGGCTGGGATTTTCTAAACCTTTGCCGTTTCTTTTCAGTAGCACATATGCCCCAAATAACTGTTTCTCAAACCATGTGCTTGAACACCTGCAAGATGAGATTTTTAAAAATTAGTTTATATACTGAAAACATGAAAAGGATTAATGCAAAGGGGAAGCGTTTGATCTCTTTCACCAAATAACCATATCAAAAGCCCTTTTCAACGCCTTTTGTTGAAACATATAAAAGTCATGAACTCCTTGGCTGCTAGCCAGTGCATCAGAACATTGCCTGGTGTAAACTAATGTTGCTCTGTTGATCTCCAAGGACATGAACTGACTCTTGCCATGCCCAGATTCAGCCTCTGGGGATTAACGAGGTGTTTGTATGACCGACGGTGCTGTATGTTCTGCAATGAAATGGGATAAATATGTATGAAAACCTGTGAATGTATTTGAGAAGACAAGCTAGCTCCTGAAGTACAACAGATATTATCTCCAAGAGACACAGATTGACAGACTATCTTTGAGGTGATTAATAAGAAAAGAAACCACACTTTTTAAAAAAAAATACTGGGAGTTTTTATTGAAAACCAGGCTTTGTTCCAAATTCTACAATTTTCATGTCATGGTGTTTGCCAGGAAAGGCTGCTGCCCAGTAAAGGAGAAGTTCCCTTCCAGTCTTGTTATAATAACGGCAAAACTAATTTATGGCAAATTCTCCTTCTCTTTGCCTAGGCTGATGGTTCAAACAGAAAGGAAAAGATTTCCTACTTTAATTTTTCACCCTTTATTTTACTTCAGTGCTTTTCCAGCTAATTTGGAGGGGTACTGCAAATGACAAAGTTAAAATTATGGGAGTGCTTTGCAAATACAATAAAGTTTATTACCACGAGCAAGTAATGGCACAATCGCTTGGTAAACATCAAGCAATCCAAGGAATCTCCAGAGTGCAGCCAGAAGTTGGTGGGAGAGATTAACATTGATGGTTTTAAAGGTCCCAGAACAAACACAGTTACCATGGTCACATGCTGCCAGCCCAGGGGCTCTGACCAGGAACCAATGGGGAGCCCAGCGAGCTGTAATGCCAAGGAAATCACTGCAGAAATGGGCAAGCACACAGAGGGATAGCAGAAGCTCTGAGAGGTGCACAGGTCACTCAGGATTGGGCATCCTAGCAGTGTTCCACTTAGGGCAGGACAGCTGGCATAGCTCCTGGAGTCTGTAGGGTGGGAAAAACTCTTCACTATGTCCTATAAGCAGCTTCCTCTGCTTGCTTTTCAAACAAGTGCTTGGTTCTTCCCCCTAGTGCTTCCTTGCAGCATTTCAGCCATGTCTGTGAGTAGCCCTTCATTTGTGAGGACCTGGGGTGGCTTTGAAGATTCATCCATCATCATTCATATGGTGGTTTGATTCTGGAATCACAGTCCTTATTTCATGCAGGCTATGAAATAAATCCACAGCTCACTATTGTTATACACATCAAATATACACTGGTCCTCCTCACAGTATCACAGAATCACAGAATCCTTGATGATGGAAGGGACCTCTGCAGGTCACCCGGTCCAACCCCCCTGCTCAAGCAGGCTCATGCAGAGATCGTTGCCCGAAGGTAAGTCTATGCTGACCTTCTTAGTTACCTGCTTTTGCAGGGGCACCTCTGAAAGTGAGGTCAGTGGCTCCAGGAAGTTGCTGAGAAAGAACTGCTGGAGGTCAGACCCCGTGCCCAGGTCCTTGCTGGGGCAGTATGGTGTCCAACATGATCCTACAAGAATCTCTTCTGATCCACCCTGTGTCCTCCAGGAACTGTGGCTTCTCCTGATGCTGTGTCTGCACTGTATTTCTGGTGACACTTGGCTCCAAACATGGGTGTCTCCAGGAAGGACACTGTGTGGGTCTGGTGTTGAAGCTCCTGCTCTGATCTCTGGATGTCTGGGCAGTCCACTGTGCAGGAGCCAGCAGCCCTGTGTCTGCTTCTGGCATGGCCAAACAGCTCCTTAAATGCTTGTTAACCCCAGTCCGGGGTGAGCATCAGGACACCTGCATGACGGCATTCCTTTGTTTTGGGGCCAAACCTGACTCAGGTCCCTTCCTCACCATGAGAGAAAAGCTGCTGCTGCTATGGCTGCTGAGCAACACAGTGCCTATTGTAAACATGGGATGGTTAAAATTGTGCTCTTTACACGGAGGAAGGAAAAAAAAAGCTCTCAATGAATGGCAGGGCAAGCACATTCTGAGCTTGGCTTCCTGAGGAAAGCGAGCTTGTGTCGTATGGGGTTTGAATGAAGATTACGATCTCCTACATTTTGAATCTCTTGGCAAATCTTAATCAAACTGGACTGAAGGGAGAACATGCCATAGGAATTTGCACAAGTTTGATAATAAGAGCTGCTGAGGAAAGAAATTACCCCTCAGAAAGGCAGCAGCCTGACCTCTCCATTGGTTAGCTATGACAAAATCCCACATGATGGAGCCTGTAAAAGCCCCAGCTGCAGGAAAAGCTACAGTCAGATTTTGCATCTTCCTAGGCACCACAATCAATTCACCACAGAGCACAAATGTGGTTTTGTTAGTTCCAGTCCTTCAGGGCTACCTAAGCCAGCTCACCTGTTCTGGTTTACCCCCAAGTCTTTCTGTGCCATGCTGGCAGCCCTGGGACCCTCCTGGCTTGGGCGCAGCTGCCAGACTGGTGAGAGGGCAAAATAACCAGCCCAAGGTAGTGGTGGAACCACCTGTCTTTGGTAGGACCTCAGAAAGTTGCAGTCTGTCAGAAGTGTATGTGCCCACAGTGCTGACTACTACTGTGTTTCTCAAATACAAGAGGATTTTCTTTCCCCTTGGTACCAAGGAGTTCTATGCTGAGTTGACTGAATAAGACTTTTTGGCAGAATAATTTCCCTTAATAATAGGAAAGTCAAATATTTCTTAAGATCTCTATCACTTCTGAAATCTCTTTATCCTGCATATGAAGTGCTTTTTTCCTTTTAAACTGATGCATGCACCAAAGCTGAACCCAATGTTTTCCCTCCCAGCTGTTGCTGTTTAGCTACTCCCCTCTCCACTTAGAAAATTTTTAGTTCATTTTTTTAAGGTGAGAGCCTGAGAGAGGTTAGCTGGAGCGCAAGTGCTCTGCTTTTCCCTTTAATTAGCAGAAGTGATGGCTACACATGGATTTCAAATTTGTTTCAGCTCTTACTGGGAGCTCTTTGCAACCTGAAGCAGGGATTGATTGTCTGTGAAGAGGCTCTGTGATAACAAAGGCAGAAGTCAGGCAGGGAAGGTCTGACATGTGAGCCGTCAGAGGTGGTGTCACTGCCAGCTGACCCATCATAAGACCGCTGGGAACAGCCAATGGGTGCCCAGCTCGGGAGGTTCTAGTGCCCTGCTCCCTGCTAGCTTGTGCTTGGAAACAGATTGACTAACATAATAGAGTGATTTTGTAATCTGTCATAATACCATAAGCTACAGATCCACAGACTTTGACCCCTCACAGGTATAATGAGCTCCTTTATTCAGCTGCACATGCTCTCTCGATGGGGGAGAGAGAGGGGAGCCTTTTCCTAATTATATATCCAAAGCATATGTTTTGCCCAGAAACAAAGCATTATATTCATTAGTAAAATCCTATAAGCTAGGCTCTTTTTATTAGCCAGTTAACTAATTGACAGTTAAGAACACGTATTAATATCATGGTGTAACCATGCAGTCACTTAATCTGACAGCTTTATTAAAATCATAGCATTGCTCCTCTAAGTTGCTACAGTGAAGGGCTGTAGCATTTGCATCAGAAACCCTGGTGTTTGGAGATATATAGCTCAGCTGTGAAAAAAAAGTCAACATAACAACACACAAGTCTCAGCCTGGTGTTGGTCTCTGTTAATCCTTTGTCAGTGTTGGAGAAGAGCGCTAAAGGTCCTTGCACTGATCTTTAAATATCTACTCAATCAAAGTAAAGTACGCTTAGGGGCATAAAAAACATATGTTAGTACATTATCCTTTTTCCTTACTGCATCAGAGAATTATCTTGCAGCAAAATGCAAAGCATTACACATCTGAAAGAATAATGTGAAACACTTGGTGCAGTTTGGGCAGGGTGTGTGTGTCATGCCAGTGAGAGGGGGAGCCCAAGTACAGCTGTGGTTGTGGCGCTGAACACAACCACACAACCTTCCACTTCCTACAGTAGTTTAAAAAGGTAAATGACCTGTAAAAGGAAAAGCTTAGAAAATAAATAGCGGTAATGGAATTAATGTCATCATGGTATGATGGCATCATACAAATCAATCTTACATCCTCACCTCACCAAAGTAATAACTCTCTATAGTAGCCCCTGTCTGAAAAGGTTGAGGTAGCAGATTTTTGTCACAAAGT